ACGGGGCCAACACACAACTCCCGTTGACACCGAGGATAGGGGCTGGTCTTGTACCAGGCACCCCGAAAACCTTGGAGGTGACCCCGAGGAGAGGTTTAAGTTGGATTACGTCTTAATCTCCTGAGTATTAGGCCCTTACACCAACATGTACCACACATGTAGCTAAGTAACGCACTTACTCTTAGTACCACTAATATCGCTAAAAAACACACTTATTCTTTGTACCATTGATATCGATAAAAGACGCACTTACTCTTTGTACCATCCATATCGCTCAGTAACGCACTTAATCTTAGTACCACTCATATCACTAAGTAACACATTTAATCTTAGGCTACTCATATTGTTAACCAACGCACATAATCTTAGTACTACTCATTTGGCCAAGTAACGCACTATTTTTAGTAACACTCATAACGCCAAGTAACATACTTACTCTTAGTTTCACTCATATCGCTAAGCAACACAGCTACTCTTACATATCTCCCAGTAGCGCACTTATTCTTAGTACCACTCATATCGCTAAGTAATGCAATTACTCTTCGTAGCACTCATATCGCTAAATAACGTTCCTTTTTTTTTTAAACCGCTTAATTCTCTAACTAGCGCACATACTCATAGTACCGCTATATCGCTTGGTTATGCATGTACTCATAATAATTATACTGTGAACTAACGCATTTTCTCATATAGTACTGCGAAGATAAACTCTACAACGGTGGGAGCTAGACTACGAGGTAGGCACGAGTTGTTAGAGTGATCATAGCTCTGTCTGTGTTCTCTAGCACTTGTGCGTTCATGGGGCAAAGCGGTTATTAGGAAAGTTGAGAATACAGAATGATAATACAACAATGGCAAGAATGACTACATGAGTGACTAGCAACCTAGCAAGGCAGCTGGTCGACCGCCAGCACAGCATGGTCGACCGTCTGCCAGCGTCGCATAGAGGAGCCACGCTAGCGCTGCAGAAACGCGGCCTGCCAACAAAACAGGTCGACGGCGAGCCAACGTTGCAGCAGGGCGGCTGTCCAGCATTGCACTCGTAGAAGACAGTAGTGTGCATGCTCGCAGGTGCGCGCACTTGATTGGCCCAACGTGCACTTCCATGTGCCCACCAGCTTTTGTCTGTGCCTAATCAGCCACATCGGCTTCGGAATACCAGCCCGTAGTCGCCTTCGCCATCGCGACCTCGACGACGTTCGCGTGCCTCCGCAGAACGGGTCGACCATCCCTGGTCGACGACCTCCCTCGGTGACCCCCGCGCCTGTCGAAGACCCCTCCTGGTCGACGGCCCGTCCGTCGACCAGTTCGGTCAGCTGCAGCCGTCGAACTCCCCTTGTCGACAGTTCCTGCCGCAGGTGTCCTGCGCAGGTCGGCGACCACCTCGTCGACCTGACCCGTCGAGGTAGACCGTCGGCTCCCGGTCGACGGCATCACCGTAGCGGTCTCCTGCAGCTCGACGAAACCCGTCGAGTTGCTCGCCCATTGCGTACGGTCGGCTGCTTCTCCCACTAACGTCAGCTCAGCGTAGGCGTCGACGGAGACTAGCGTGTTCGGGGCCCGCCCAGTCTGCTCCTCATCGATGAAGCGCCTGCGCAACTTGTCGATGTACGACTGCTGATGTAACCACAGCTTTCTCGACGGTCTATTGCACACGATCTCCAGCCCAATGTAACTCTCGACCGGGCTGATCTCGTGCACTCAAAGGCGGCCTCCAACAGCTCCTTTAGCTCCTTCAGCATCGCGGTGCTACTGCTGGCAGCGAGCAGATCGTCAACGTAGACGAGCACCCAGTCGTCACCGACCTTGAAGTACAGCGCGTCATCAACCTTACTCCTCTTCCAGTTGGCGCTAGTCAGCACGTCGTCGAGCGCCTTGAACCACAACATCGAAGACTGCTTCAGCCCGTACAGGCTCTTCAACACCTTGCACACCCGGTCGATCCTGTCATCAAAGTAGTCCGGCTGGCACATATACAGCATCCTATCAAGCTTGCGTTGCAGGAAAATGTTCTTCATGTCGAGCTATCAGGTTCGGGTCTAGCACAGCGACAAAGCTGAGGAAGGTCCTCAGCGTGATATAGCTGCTGGCCGGCGCGTACATCTCGTCGTAGTCGACGCCATATACCTGCGTGAAGCCTTTCACGATCAAGCGCACCTGCTGGCGGGCACCTAACCGTCGATGTGGTACTTCATCATCAGCACCTAGCGGTGCTTCATGATGTTTACACCGCGTGGGGGTTCGACCAGCTCTCACATGCCCATGCCGATGAGGCTACGGATCTCCGTCCATGGCAGCCTTTACCGTCTTACTTTTCGGCTTGCCAACGCCTCCTTCACCGTCATCTGCGCGATGTCCCAACGGTGATCGGTATCGGCGTGCACGTCGGGGTCGAGCTCCGGTGGGTCAACGTCGGCCTCAACATCGTCAAGCAGTGTGGTGGCACACAGGCGTGGTAGCTCAGCCACTCCGGTGGCTTTCGAGTTCGACCTGATCGTCGCAGCTCCGGCTTCTCGACCGGAACCTCCACCACATCTTTTGCGGTGAACTCCTCATCTACCGAGACCTCCCCTTCATCGTCAACATCTTCGTCGTCGACGAGCTGCTTCACCAGCGTTGACCCTGCGACCGGCTTCTCCACTCTCGTCGGCCCTCTTGCCGACATCTCTTTGATCTACAGCTCCCGTGTCGACTTCCCCTTCAGCTGCTCCCCTGTCGGCGGCATATCTGCTGTCGCGTTCTGCACCTGCTCCCTTGTCTGTTGCTCCCCTGTCGTCGACGGCTGCACATTCTTGTCAACAAGCTATGCCGGATGTCAACCGCACGCGATTCAAAAGGCCGGCGCCACAGGCGACGCCGCAAGGCTCCCCTTATTACCGGTGGTCGACACTTGCAAATCGGCAACAAGGGGCGGAGCAACAGGAACAAGAGAAGGAGGAGAGGGTAGGACTTCCTCGACGTCCGCATCAGCAGGCTCGTCGACCTTGGCGAGAAGCAAGAACGTCACCGTCGAGGTGTCTGTCGGCGAGTGGACCTCCGTTCGTCCCGACGCAGGCCCGTATTTCGCATTTCACACCACCAGCGACAGGGTATCGTAAAAGATGAACTCGACCGACGTGACCACCTTGTTGTTGGTCAAGTCAAGCACCTCCCAGCCCTTGCTCTCCGGCGACACCCCCGGGTGAAGTCCCCAACGAGCCTTTGGCCCCAGCTTCCCACCGCGGTGCTGCTCAGGGACCATAAACTGCACCATGCAGCCCCACACCCGGGCCAGCGTGAGATCGGGCTTCTTGTCGGTCAGCAGCCGATACAGTGCCATCCCCGACGTCGTCGTCAACTGCTCCAAGAAGTTGCGCACCCAGACAGCCTGTCAGAGAGCAAGGTGCCACCAGTGATGCTGCACGCCCATGTGCAGTAGCGTCGTCCGCACGGACTCGACGACCGTGCGCATCTCCCGCTCAGCCATCAGGTTTTGCTGCGGATTGTACGGGCAGGTCAGGTCGTGGACGATGTCTTTCTTGTCGACGAAGTCGATGAATTTCTTCCCCAGAAACTCGTCGCCACTGTCAGAGCGAAGCATGGCACTCTACAAGCAGCAGCCGCTTCTCGATCACCCACCGAACGTCGCTCTTCTTAGCGACCGACGTCACCCAAACGAACCGAGTGTGGCGGTCCTTCAGCAGGAGGAAGTACAAGCCGCCATCCGGAATGGCCCGCACAAGTCAATATGCACAACAGCCAGTGCCTCCTCGGCGTCCGAGCCCTTGTCGGGGAAGGTGTCTTCCCCGCCAACGCACGAGACACACGGCAAGTCAGCCCCGGTCGACGATGTGAGGTCGAGGCCAGTAGTGACGTCGTGCTTCGCCGGGCTCTTGATCGTATCGACGCCAAAGTGCGCGAGCCTCGCGTGCCACCGGTCGGGAGTACCTCCTTCGTCCCCATCAGGCGATGCGAGCAACCGCCATCCAGCACCACCGTCATCGCATTCGCTTGCACGGTGGCCGCAACCGCCTTGAAGACCTCCCCGACTTTTAGCACAAGCGAGACTCGCTACTCCACCACGCCGACCATCGAGCACGACACCTCCCCGTCGCTTTGGCCCTTGCCACTGGAGTTTTCGACGTCCTTCGTCGACGACATTTTCTTCGACGTCTACTTCTCCTTGTCAACCGCCTCCAATCATGCCTCCTCTGCCCCTCCTTCCCATCCCCCTTGTTCCTCCTAGGTGCAACCACCGTCCATCCAGCCCGCCTTTCTCATCGGCCTGGCGCTCACTTTCTTCTGCCTGCTCGGCGAGGGTGACAGCCCAAAGAAAAAACTCAAGCAGGCAACGATCAAGGCTGGCTCAGATGCTGCCAAGGCGGAAAAGAGAACAAACAGAGGGGACTTGTTTGATTTGGGAGGATTGATCCAAGGTGTTTGATCCGAAGGAAAAGAAGCAGAAACCCGGGCGAAGTCATTGTTTACAATTGTTGACTGTTTGTTGAAAATTGTAAAAATAACAGAGTTATTTGTGTTAATTTGATATTGTTGTCATAAATCATTCTAGGGTTGGATCAATGCTTTGAGTGTTCACTGGAGGAAAGACAGCTTTGCAGCAGAAATAATATATAGTCCCTGGGAGAGACAAGAACCTGCCATACAATCTGCTTCTCTTAAGAGAGGAGCTGCCTACTCTGGGAGAACCTGCTTGCGAAACCCTGGTAGAAATTGCACAACAGCAATGGCAGTTACTAGTTGGACAGAATACCCGCCAGGCACAGCATTCATTTATTTCCAGCTTCACATGAAACGGGATGGGACATGGTACATGCAAAACAAAGATTGCAGGTGTACCGATAAAGACAACCTCAGCAGTTCTGAAACATCTTGGTTTCAGGTGGGCAAGCGCCCAACCCACCCATGTTCCTCCTTTCTGCAATTCCTCCCCAACCTTCCATTTCCCCATTCCATCCCACCACTCCTCCACCTCCATTCCCCCATCTCTTCCCCTCCATCAATCATCCATCCCTCCATGCCTCCATCTCTCCTCCCAACCGTCCATTCCACTGTCTCTCCCCATCCATCACTCCATCCATCCCACCACCACTCCATCCCTTCCCTTCCATCCATGATCCGTCCCTGCAACCGTTCACCCCTCTCCGCTCTGCTTCAGTCCTTTGAGGCACCTCAAAAGTCCATCCATCCCACCACCACTCCATCCCTTCCCTTCCATCCATGATCCGTCCCTGCAACCGTTCACCCCCTCTCCGCTCAGCTTCAGTCCTTTGAGGCACCTCAAAAGTCCATCCATCCCACCACCACTCCATCCCTTTCCTGCCATCCATCGATCCACCCCTGCAACCACATCCACCCCCTCTCCACTCTGCTTCAGCCTCACTGGAAGCACGTTTTCGGCGTGCACGGCAGCTCGGGAACATCCCCGTTTCTAGGCCCTGCATTAACGCGTATAAAGTGCGCGAGCTCCCGGTCCGCAGTGTGCATCAGCAGCCGATACGGCGGGTCGAAAATGGACAAATCCGCGTTAAACTCTGTAAAAGTCGCTCCATTCACCAGCAAATCCCCAAACGACCGGATCACAGGAGTCGTATCAAACCCCTCGGTCCATAGGGCGCGTTCGCCAAACCACGGGGTGAGTTCTTTTCGCGCGTCCCCGGCGATGAAAATGTTGCGATCCGAGCGAATTGCAGCGTACATACGGCCGCCAAGGCAGTAGTAAGACCATTTGGAATATAAGCTGTTGGCCACGTGGACCCTGCCCCACCGCGCCTTGGGCTGTCGCTGCCCCGACTTGTCAAACCAGTTGCGGTAGAGCGTCACCCGCATGTCCACGTCGTACACCCCGTCGTCCTCCGCTCCTAACAGCATGGTGAGGTTGCTGTGTGGGTGGGAAGGTGGGGGGGGGGGAGGCAGGGGATAGGGGGAGGGGGGTGTAGAGGGCTACTCGCATGTCCACGTCGTATACCCCGTCGTCCTCTGTGCCTAGCAGCATGGTTAGGTTGCTGTGTGGATGGGCGGGGCCACATGAGGGGAAGGTGGGGCAGGGCATTATACATTACACGCGTCACTCGCATGTCCACATCGTATACCCCGTCGTCTTCCGTGCCCAGCAGCATGGTGAGGTTGCTGTGTGGGTGGGAAGGTGGGGGAAGGGAAGCAAGGGAATGGCGTGGAGGAGGGAGGGGATAAGAGGGTAGAGCGTCACCCGCATGTCCCCGTCGTATACCCCATCGTCCTACTCTCCCAACAGCATGGTGAGTTTGCTGCTTGGACGGGTATATGTGAGGAACATGGGGTATATATACACACAACACACGTATGTGCGCATAAGGGGCCTTTTATCAGTTGCGGATGGTGATGGTGATATCCATAGAACTGTAAACGGCATCCACTGTACCACTTACAACCTTGTACGCCTGCCAATGGTCCACCCACACACGCGTCGTGCCCTCTAAAGCTGACATAATATATACTCTTGGCTAATATACGTATATATACACTTACCAGTTGCTAATATACACTTAGATACACTTACCGGTTGCTGATATACGAATTGCTGATGGTGATATCCGTAGAGCCGTAAACAGCGTCCACTGTACCGCGCAAGGCCTTGTACACCTGGCAGTGGTCTATCCACACGCGCGTCGTGCCTGCAATGTGCACCACATCGTGATCGCCGCGCTGGTTGCCGACTGCACGTGTTGAGGCGGGGGAGGGAGTTGTGTATAGGGGGATGGGGGCACTTCAGGAGGACGGTGAGGGGAAGTAGGGGAGGGGGATTCTTGGGCTCACTCATTTCATTGTGCGCCACGTCGTGGTCGCCGCGCTGGTCGCCGACTGCGCGGATGGGAGTGTCGGGGGGGGGAGAGAGAGGGGGAGGAGAGAGAGGGGGTGGAGAGAGAGGGGGAGGAGAGAGAGGGGGTGGAGAGAGAGGGGGTGTAGAGAGAGGGGGTGGAGAGAGAGGGGGTGGAGAGAGAGGGGGTGGAGAGAGAGGGGGGGGAGAGAGAGGGGCTGGAGAGAGAGGGGATGGAGAGAGAGGGGGTGGAGAGAGAGGGGGGGGAGAGAGAGGGGATGGAGAGAGAGGGGGTGGAGAGAGAGGGGGCCTCGGGAGAAGTGGCAAAGCGTGTTTCGGGTTCAGCTTATTGCGATGCGCACCAAGTCGTGGTCGCCGACTGCACGAGTGGTAGGCCGGGGGGAATGGGGAAGGGAGGGGAGGAGGGTGTGGGCGTAAGGAGAATTTATGGTCCACTCATCGCGTCGCTGGAAAAAGGGGGGGATTCTGTGGTCGACGCGGAGGGCCGTGCATAGAGGCCCGCGCGTAGGGTCTTATGGCGAACTACAGCAATTGGGACACCGTGCATCCAGTCTCCACCTTCCCTCCCACGGCAACTCGACGAACCAAGAACCACTAAGAACCACCACGCGATTATAAACGAAAGCGCTACATGTAATTCTCTCCTCTTCCAACGGCCGCGCCACCCCATCACCATCCACCGTGCACATAGCCCCGCCAAACACCGTTCTTCCCTACGTCCTCCTTAACCCCCTCCCCAACTTCCCCCACCCCCCCCCCTCCCCCCTCCCCCCTCCCCCCTCCACATCTTCCCCCGCCCCCTTTCCCCACCTAGCCCTCTCCCCCTTCCAACCTATTCCCGTTACACTCACTCGCAACGTTGTGTATGATCACATTCGTGATGTTCTGCAGAACCATGCCTCCGCGTATAATCACATTCGCGCCGCGACCGCTGATCGTCACGTGCGACTGCAGAAACAGCCGCTTCTGCAACCTAATGAACATCGAGCTATTAAAACGTATAATCACACCCTCGGGATAATTACTTAACCCCCATCTTAGCGTGCCTTGCGGAACGTCCTCTGCCCTATCCACGTCACTGGTAACCACATAAATCGGCTTCCCCAGCCCGCCAGTTACGCCGGCAAGTGCGGCGTAACCCATGGCGCATCTGTACAGATTCTCTCCCGCGCCGCGCGAACGGTATGGACAGTCCACGTTCCTCTCTCCCGTTTTAATCACATCTTGATACGGCGTCATGGGAAACCTATCCCCCGTTACTGGGAGCACCCACGAGTCTTGCCCCACTGAACCGCCTTCCACCGTGCCTGGGTTCGTCTTTCCTCAAGAACGTGCGCACGATTCTTTCATTTGGAAAGCCTGAGCCGAGGCGCGTTCGGTTCGGAACAAGTTTAGTCAACACGTTTTCGCCTCCAAAGTGCACGTTTATGCGAGGAATGGAACATCGATACCCAACTCGGCTGTCGAAAAAGCAAAATATGTAACAATGTAACTGAAACTGGAGTACTGTTATGAGTTGTAAAAGAGAGTGCGCAGGTAAACGAATAACGAGACTGTGATTAACTGATCTGAGAATATGTAAGGAAAATTCCTTTTCCTTACTTCGCGTCCCTGCTCAGCGCGTACACCACTGTTCCCGCCAACCGCACCCAACAGTAATCCGTTACCACTCGCGACACTCGCCTCGACACTATTCCCGCCACTGTTCACGACGCGACCCAACCTCACGGTTCGGTTGGTAACCCGCGCTCCGGACCTCCGCCTCGACAGTTCCCAACCTCGGCGCCAGGCCCGTCGCGCACCCCATTTTCCACGCATAACCGTTACCACTGTAGTTTCGCTATATATTCTTCGCTCATGCCTTCGCTCATTGTACTTTTGCTTCGATAGTGCAATTCTCGCTCGTTCACTCAATTGCACTCGTAACACTTGGTATTCAGAGCCTACGATCTCTTCACGGACCGCACCCGCTTCCCCACTATCTCCATTTTTTGGGGGGGGTAGACGTCTCTCAGCGACACAGCACCGCCGCTCGTAGTGCTCTCTCGTAAGCACGCACGGCCACGACTGAGGCTCTCGCTGAGCTCGCCCGACACCCCCGCCATGGCCGAATTCACTCTCGCAACATTGACGCAGGAGCAGCTTGACCGTCGGGTGCGCCAAGTTGAAGATTCGGCGCTCGAAATTGCGACGCTCACGGCAGAACGTGACTCCGCGCGTCAGCAATCTACGGCGAATGCTCCAGCATCACAAAATGCACCTGCACAATCGGACGAGCCGATCGTCATCTCGTCCGGCACACCAACACACCACGACAGCGTGGGACAGCGCTCAGGAGCAGCCAGTGATAGCGCCGCCCAACCGATGCCTGGCATGGGAAGAAACCGGGTCGCACCAAGCCCGCGGGAGCCTCGTGAAGCCTGTCGGCACGTGGAGTTTGCGGCAACAAGTGGCGATCAGGCCATTATGGCACCAATGCCACTCAAGCCGCAACGCCCGCCCTGTTTCGACCCGAGCCAGCGTGGAGGTCCGACGGTTCAATCGTGGATCTTCACGATGAACGTCTTCTTCGACGCGAATTACGTCGAGTCGGACGCAGCGAAGATTCGATACGCCGTTTCGCTGCTGAGGGGCCCCGCCATGGACTGGTGGCGAGTCATCGTGACGTCGCCACGCGCCTACGAGCCACCGTCGCAAGAGGAAGGGCCCACGGGTCCAGCCGTCACCTGGAGTTCGTTCTGCGAGACCGCCCAATACAGCACGTGGGATGCGTGGTGCGTAGGGCTCCGGGCGCGCTTCGAGCCAATCGCGGCTTCTATCTCGGCGCGTCAGAAACTGCGCACTTGGCGGCAGCTCGGGTCGGTTCAAGATTATACGAGCGGTTTTCTCGCCCTTTGCGAGCAAGTCGGCTACATGCACGAGGCGGAGCGGGTGGACCGTTACGTCGGAGGGCTGAAGCCGGACATCTCGCACGAAATCATGCTACGCGGGCTCTCGAACTTCAACGAGATTCTCGCGCTTGCCGAGAAAATCGACATGTTACGCCGACCGAGACCGGGGTCCTACTACGGACATCGTCCTCGGGGACCGATCGAGCACGCCACTGTACACGCCGTTGCGACGAATGCAGCTGCCGCGCCGTTTAAGGGGCGCTGCTTTGCTTGCAACAGGCCGGGCCATCGCAAGAGCGAATGCCCAGAGGAGCTGAGGCGCCGCGGAGCAGAGCAGGGGAGGGAGTCTCAGAGGCAGGGAAACGCCAGCAGTCAGTAAGAGTCGGGCCAACTACTGACGAGACTGCCTGCTCGCCCAACCACACCGACCCTCACCGAGTCACAGTACCGATTCACGCCATCGATCGGGCTCGGACGAATAAGGAGGGTACAGCGACGGATTGCCCAGTACTGATCCACGGGAAAATACAGGGAGCAGCAGTGAAGATTTTTATCGACGGAGGAGCAAGCCACAGTTTAGTTAATACCGCAACTGCACGGAAACTGCAACTGACACTTAGTCGGTGCTTACCAGAGATCGACGCACGCTTAGTAGTTTGCACGCCGCTGGCCATACGGGAGAAGGTGGAAAGAGTAAAAGTTCGCTGTGGGGGAGATTTCGGCTTTACACAGGAAATGCTCGCGACGACGTTGGATGGGCACGACATTTTACTGGGGCGTGATTGGCTGCGACGCTACAACCCGCGAATCGACTGGACGACGGGTAGCTGCACTGTGCGAAGTAGCGGTAACTGGGTCGCGCTACCTCGCTGGCAGTCGCCCGAGTCTTCAACGGTCCACGTCAACGCCATCACGATGAAACGGGCTGTCGCCGCTGGAGCTGACGTGTACGCAGTGGATAAAGCATTGGTAGGAGCAGCAGAGCAGCCGAGCGATTTTCAGAAACTGTTGGCAGCAGTACCGCCCGACCTACAGGAACTGTTGAAACGGTACCCGGGGATTTTCGCGGACGACTTACCGGAGGGGCTGCCACCTCAGCGAGCACACGACCACCGCATAGAGCTAGAACCCGGGGCACAGCCAACCGTACAGCGACAGTTCAGACTGACACAGCCCGAGCTCGATGAGCTGAGGAAGCAGTTAGACTACCTATTAGAGAAGAAATTCATCCGACCGAGCTCGTCACCGTTCGCCGCACCGATACTGTTCACACCGAAGAAGGACGGGGGGTTTCGCATGTGCATCGATTACCGAGCACTGAACAGGGTAACAGTCAAGTCGCGATACCCCATTCCCCGCGCCGACGAACTGATCGACCAACTGCGAACAGCACGGGTTTTCTCGAAAATAGATTTACGGGGGGGTTACCATCAGATTCGGGTCGAACCATCGGACTGCGCCAAGACAATATTTAGGACTAGGTACGGGTCATTCGAGTACGCCGTGATGCCATTCGGGCTGACTAACGCACCGGCGACATTTCAGATGACCATGAACGAAGCATTTAGGCCACTCTTAGATAAATGCGTGATAGTTTACCTCGACGACATCCTCGTCTATAGCAGGGATAAGCAGCAGCACTTTGCAGATCTGGAAGCGGTTTTTAAGGTTTTAAACGAGCATCGCCTACTGACCAAGGGTTCCAAGTGCGAGTTCTTCCAGGATAGGTTAGAGTTTTTGGGGCACGTCATTTCGGAGGCTGGGGTTGAAATCGACCCAAAGAAGCTGGACACGGTCAAAGCGTGGCACCCCCCGACGAACATCACGGAACTGCAGAGTTTTTTAGGGTTCGTTAATTATGTCCGTCGGTTCGTCCCCAACATGGCACAGTTGACTGCCCCGCTGACGGATTTACTGCGCAAGGGGGTCGCGTTTACGTGGGGGGAGAAAGAGCATGCTGCCTTCTCTGCCCTGAAAACTGTTCTCTGTTCCCCGCCCGTCCTGCGCATCGCCGACCCACACCGCCCCTTCGAAGTTGTTACAGACGCGAGCGACATCGCCATTGGAGCCGTACTGCTACAGGATTCCGGCAATGGCCTACAGCCCATCGCATACGAGTCACGGAAACTGCATCCGCCAGAGAAAAACTACCCGATACACGACCGCGAAATGCTCGCGATCGTGCATGCGTTCAAAGTGTGGCGCTGTTACTTGACCGGCGCAGACTGTTAAGAAACTAGCGAGAGTTTGGCTTAGGAGCCATAGTAGCTTAGGTGACTTGGTGAAGTTCGAGGGTGTAGGGTGTAAGGAAAATGTCGAGAGAATTGTGGAAGGAGAATGAATGGGGTTTCACTAGCAAGAGTTGGGATACAAGTACAACACCCTAAATTGGGTTGTACTCATTACAGAGTACCCCACTGCAGGCTAGACAGCAAATACATTCTGACACACCCCCATAGCCAAAGTGGGGTGTAATCAGCACAATGAGCAAGCATAGAGCAAGAGTTCACAATAGGTAAGTAAGGCTAGAGCTAATCACAGAGGGCAAGTGAGGAGGAGGAGAGACTGTGGGGGAGAGAAGATGGGAGGCGACTGATGACGCTGCAGACACACAGACGAGCTGCTGGCTCAGTGGCTACCGGAACAGCGCTCCGGACTACTGGGGTAACTGGCCCCGCGGCTAAAAGTAGCGGCAGACGAGCAACGGACCCACGGGCGACTAGCGACTACCGGAGATTGTAGCCTCCGGACTGCTGCTGCTGCTGACGACAAGACTGCTGCCTCCACTCGACCTCCCCAGCTGCCTAACGCCCTTCTCACACACCCCCTGCTCAAACCCTAGCCCTACACCCACAGCACCCCCTTAAACCCTAAACCCCAGACTCCCACACATCCACCCCTCTCAGCGAGAGCTGCAGCAGTGGGAGACGAAGGAGGAGGAGGAGGAGGGAACGGCACGCACAACCGACACCCCCACAACCATCACCCCCACACCCACCCCCCCACGGCTGCACCGGGTCCAGGAGCGGCTGCTGCAGGGGCCAGGGGCGGCTGCTGCTGGGGCGGCTGCTCCAGGGGCTGCTGCTGCTGGGG